CCGCATCGTACGATATGGTGATCGAGATGGACAACAAGCTTGTTGCATGGAAGGATAAACTCCCACCATACTTTGCCGTGGAAGACCCCGAGCTCTCACTGGATGAGTCGCATACATTTTTACCTTGGCATCGCCTCTACCTGCACTCTACTTTCCACTTTGCCAGAATCACTCTGCACCGACCTTATCTTCTGCGTGAGTCCATAACCAATCGCTTCAGCCTTAGTCACGAGGCATGCATCTCCTCGGCATCTTCCGATCTGAAAATCAGACTGCAATCCTTGAATTATGGAACATCAGAAAATATGAGATGGGCACTAGGAACCCACAATATGTTCAACAGTGCCTTCATCCTGGGTATTATTGCCGTGCGACGACCAATTGCCCCCCAAACTGCGGCAATCTTGAACGATCTTGAGGAATATTGCGAAAGGTTACGGAAGGATGTTTGGCTAAACGAGTTTGGTCTTGCGGAGGTTAAAGTAGTAGAGCTGTGTATAATCCGTACTACTGGATTCGCCCAAGCCACCGACCAGCCAGGCGATCAGGCCCCAATGAGTCCACCTGAAGTATTGCCGGACTTTATGGCACAGGAGCGCGAAAGGAATCCGATGATGTCGACAGTTACGAATATTGAGTCTATTGCAGCGGGCGCCTCGTCCATTCATCCACCTGATTCTTCGCCCGATATGATGTGGCCTGCAGTGTGGGAAGATCAGAATTTTGCATTTCCACAAGCTGCTGACCTTGAAACTTGGGAGCAAATGATATCCGAAATTGCATATCACACTTAAAATATGGAATTCTTGGGGTCATCCTCGTTGGTTGTATAAGTATCTATATTCTTGGCCCTTATGATGGATGTAACCTCTCATAAATCATATAATTTGATCTTGATATTCCGTATAAAATATATCTACAGGATGTATCGGAAGTCTGGATGGAAATCTCCGCCTCTCTTTTCGTATGATCCTGAGCTGACAATGAGCTCTCTCTCCTCCGGTGATAGTTGGTCTCGCTTCGTATTGTGATATCGGAGCAAAACCCACATGCCAGCATTACCAACGAATGCAAGACAGATAGCAGCCAGTGAAACAGAATGACCGACCACATATCGTCCATTTATAGATGACTTGTAGATTTGACCGGCCTTGGGTTATGTTAGTTTGAGGTCAATGCCATAAAAAGAGGATGCTAATATGATATCCCACTTACAATCAGACCGGCGCAATTTCCGATAGTCTGTTGGAGGCCCACTCCCATAGCACGCTTGTAATAGCCAGAATGGCTGTTGGCGTTCCAACTGACCCCAAGTCCAACCACAGCATAGATTCTAGAAGAAAGGTTAGAAAATTGCTCAATAAATATCCCAAGCAACGGAAAATACATACCCAGTGACACACACGTATGTCGCAAAATATAATGGACCTCGCGCCTGAACATCCACTCCCAGCAGCATGGCATAGCCAACAGCTGTCACTAGACACAAGGGGACCATGAAGACCGCTCGCATGCGCACTCGATCGGATAAATTGGCGACGACCAGGTAAAACCCGGAAGCCCAGATATACACGGGAACAGTGAGCAGTTGGGTCTTGACCGAATCATATCCAAAGCCTCGGATAATAGTTGGTAGGAAGGTACTAAACCCGAAAGAACAAATGTTGACACAAATTTGGTTGAAGGACGTGAGCCAGCTCTTGGGGTCTCTCAGTGTTTTCCATACTTCCTTGATATCAAACTCTTCCGTATCAGCGTACCGTGCCGACTGTTGCATGCGCAGGCGCATCAGCTCTTTATCTTCCTCGTTCAAGAAGTAGGCAGTCTCGTAGTCATTTGGAAGGAGGAAAAATGTGGCAATACCAACGACCGCGCTCATGATGCCCTCCACAATGAAAAGCCACCTCCAACCTTCAAGGCCGGCCGCACCATCCAGGCGAATCAGTCCGAAGGCGAGTCTAAGGTTCGTGTATTAGCCACCATTTAGATTTGTTTAAAATAATAGGGAGAGTTGCGCATACAATCCACCGAAGCCTCCACTTAGAGCAGCGGACACAAACAGATATGAAATTCTCTGTGCTTGTTCCTCGCGTTTGTAAAATGTGGTCAAGAGGACAGTCAAGCACCTGCGCGATAATTAGTGTCTATTCAATAATTTTCTTTTATCCAGACAGCCGATAATCTTACGGAAATAGGCCACTTTCAAAGACACCGAGAAATAGCCTGGTGGTATAAAGTCCGGCAACATTCTTGATAAATCCAGCAGCCAATATGGATACACTGAAGCCAAGGATCAATGCAGAAATGAGTCTGTTAGGGCGTAATTTCTTGAGGACCATAGAGAACGGGATTTCAAAGAAGACGTAGGTTGCGTAAAACAAAGACACGGCATCTGGTTGGGTATTGTTAGCCATAGGTTCGAATATTGGACGAGGATAATCTCACTTCCTAGTTCATTTCCAACTAGACCAATATCTTCCTGTAAGAGCTAAGTCAGCAACCCACTGTTTCACAAAATGTGAGCTTGAATTTACCGGCATTCCGGCAACAGCTGCATTTCTAGCCAGGAGTTAGCTATAAGAATCCTTGCAGTGTGGATGGAATTCTTACCCTAAGTTGCTTCGATCAAGATATGCGACCAAGAAAATGAGCATCACCAAAGGGCAAATGCAGAGATCAAGCTTCCATAGTAGCTTTTTCTCTCGCACAGGGTCAACCACGAAGTTGCCCATCTGTACGTCGTGATCCGAGAATAAGTCGGCTTGTTTGATATCTGTTTCCTTCTTCATTTTGAATGAGTATGTGGAGTTATTATAGCAAGTGGAATCCATCTCTCATCGGTTCTTATATATCCACAGAAGTGATTACAGGCCTTATCTTTCTTTATGATCGGAAAATCCATCGGTTTATTTGAGGGCTTGGCAAAACTGGAACGATGAATTTCCCGAACAAATTAAATTCGGTGTCATCGGAAGAGATAAGCTCTAGGCTGGGAGTGACCCAAGGATTCTCGTGCATTAGTTCGTCCATAAGTGGACTTTATTTTTAGGCTTAAACCCCCTACCATAATCACGTGTATATTTCATCCCTGTCAATTCATCACTATTTTATGTGCCTCTGACATTTCAATCTATTTTCACCTTGCCTACGGAGTACAATCCTGTATATTAGCTGATCAGCTTGTTATCTTTTACCCGACGTGATTTCCCCGCATTTTCTAGTCTTGGCATCGGCAAATATGACCCGATGAACCCTAACTCATCTTATCTATCCACCAATTTCCCGATGAATTTCCCGACATGGGTTATTCGGTATGGGGAACAACCCATTGATAAGGAGCCAACGAACTCTCACACTTTTTATCATTGAAAATCATTCATGTCACCATTATCTCTCAAAATGGGAATCTCAAATGTGAATAGAACTGAGTTCGAAGACACCCCTGCAGCAAAACATCCAGTAAGCACTTCGCTAAGACCATGTCTGAGTAACCTAACGTACTACAGGTTTGGAAGCGATGGGTTCGCTTCAGAGCAGAAGATGGTAAAATATATGGCGGTGAGCCCGTGAATCCGGATATTGATGGTACGGCATACTCAAGTTCACGAAAAGTCAAACCATGTTGACAGACTCATAGTGGGCCAGGCCATAGAAAAGAATGTCGAAGTCTCAGTGAAAGTCGTGGCTGGCAACTCGGCATTGGATTATGCTGCTTCATTTACGGGTGAAATCAAAACCATTGGTGAACTGCTATCCCCAGTATCGCAAATTGAAGCTGGCACTGTTCGGTGCGTCGGCTTAAATTACAAGGAGCACGCAGCGGAGATGAAGTTGACTCTTCCAAACACGCCAACGTTAGTATATCTGCCTTGGCTTCTTACAATTGCTGATACCGTGCCAGTGTATTCCTAAAGGCCAGCACTTGCATTGCATCCGCATCCGACCCCATTGTACTTCCCTCCAATGTGGATCATGATGAAGCAGACTATGAAGTTGAGTTGGCAATAGTTGTTGGCCGACGATGCAAGAATGTTTCGGTGGCCGAAGCAGCCGACTATGTTCTGGGCTATGCAGTCGCCAATGATGTGACAGCACGAAAGCATCAAGAGAAGACATCACAGTGGTCTTATGCAAAGGGAATGGTATGCCGATAGTCAATTCCCAAAATAGGCTCCACGACTAACCTCCATTAGGATGGGTTTTGTCCACTCGGTCCATGTATTGTGTCTACAGAACAAATCCCCGATGCTGCAGCATTGAATCTAAAGACTCGTCTCAATGGAAGGATCATGCAGAATGGATCCGCCGACGACATGATCTTCAGCATACCAGAAATTGTGTCCTATCTTTCTCAGGTACGAAATAACCCTAGCTCTTTCAAATAAATGGAGCTAATGCTAAGTATTAGGGCCACACATTACTGCCCGGGACCGTCATCATTACCGGAACGCCTTGTGGTATTGGTATCTCACAGAGCCCACCGCAGTTCCTCCAGCCTGGAGATGAGCTGCGGATAAGTATAAGCCATGGGTTAGGCACTCAAATATGCTCAATCGCGAGAGATTGAGCCGTGCACAATCATGTGCATTTGATCCATTGATGGTTGAATAATAAAAACCGTCATGCTACTTATTATGAACTAGATATGGTTTCTTGTGTCTTGTAAAATGGCGATCGTAGCGTTGCATTATAGTACGCTTTGGCACACACGGGGTACCACTGCTTCGTTTATCTTTGGCATATATGCACTGGCGGCCTGCTCTCATACAAGTGATAGAATTCGTATTCCACCCAACACTTTCGATCGTGATATTACCCTTAACAACGGGACAAAACCGTGCAATATGGGAAATGAGCTAGGCCTTATCGGTAGGGACAGGATAATCATATACGAAGTTAGAGCAATTCCTGAAGATTTCATCACTTCATTTAATGGATTTAATTTGAAGGGGCTGATGAACATATAGAGATACTGGCTGATCCTAGATACAATGCTGAGCCTATCCCATAATAGTTTCCAAATTCAAATCCAACATAACATCCAGCCAGAACTCTGCCAAACCAGAGTCTGCACGATCCCAAGTTTCATGCACAACGTTATAAATGCGTTGCATTGGCAGCTTCGGTAGGATTAAGATGAGTTCAGACATCCGCATTTTAACCTTTCGTCTGGCCTGGGCAATTTCAACATCCAGCGTATTCAGACTGGGAATCGCATTTTCTGTGGCGCCTAGCACAGACCCAGACGAGAAAACAAGATCGCTAGAGATGCAAGCCAAAACTATAGGCTGCATAACCTTCGTTCCAGATGTTGAAGGAAGCTGTTCCAAGAGGGATACAATGTGTAGTGCCAGGGTGTGACGTGCGTCTTCTACCGAGCACGATGACCATTCAACTGCTATTGGGAACAACAACAAAAGAGGGCCGGGATGGAATCTTCACCATCCGCTGTTTGATTATTTTGCAGTCGTTCTTCAAGGATGTCCGGGAAGACATGGTAAATTTGCAACAGTGCCGTACAGCGATACGCCTCGGCCAACGTAAGAAAATGCGACGGTGGCGTGTTTGTATCACCGATATCGACAGGCCCACAATAGAACGAGAAGCCAGTAAAGAGAATTCTGTCCTCGAGTTGTTCGGCTTTCTGTCTGAGATCGAGTTCTTCGGCCATGGAACTCAAGTCAATCAAGGTGGGATCCAAATCCGCTGGCCTTCGGCGGTGGGAGGTTCTTGCGGCTCGAACTACTCTTGCAGTTCGATAGAAGAGACCCAATGCGTATCTGAGAGATCCTGTCCACGGATGCGGTAGGACCTGTCCATCGACAAGATAGACTGAAAGATCTGTGTCACTGTTTTCAATAGAATTTTCCACATCCAGAATAGGCGACTCCTCTGTCACAAAGGCAGCCAGTAAGTTCCACCAAAGGAGACACTGCTTGAAAAGTGGATGCTGTTTTGCAAGGGTAGAGTTTTCATTCTTGCACTGGCGTTCTTGTCTCAGAAGATGATCTTGGGCCGCTCTCAGATATGGAAGCCCTAAATCGGAAGCATCGTGCCACCCAGTGGTGGATCCAATCATAAGAAGTGCAAGAAAGTACTCATCATCCTTGGTTTGAGTAAAACCCCTCTGGAAACTGTTATTTAGACACGCGATTGCTTGCTGTTGTGTCTGTATTCCGATGGCTCGCATGGTTGGAAAATCATTGGCCAAAGAGGCGGCTGACATGCTCTGGATAGCAAAGTAAATTGCCGCATTTCGACTCCAGAGCCGGCTAATAATGGTTCGGAAAGGATTGAGAGGACAGTCGAACGATGACCATTGGTTACAAACCGTATGGAAGTAATACTGCACCAACATCACTGGTAGTTGGATGAGAAAGGAGGGAACGGATGTATTGGCCAGTCGTTGACGCAGAATCGACAACCCATCCAGTTCGGCATCAGGTTTCGCTAAAGCCGCTCCATTAGAATCTGGCTCAGTATAGAACCAGGCATCTGTTGGCTCATCAAAATCTGGCAGCTGGTCAAAGAGGTTTGGGTAGGCCGTATCCCAAATATTCTGGATTTCATCCTGAGGATTGTCTTTTTCCTCCTGCATTGGATCATTCACCCGGGGAAATTCGGTTTCACCCGTGTCGGGAGACTCGACCGGTGGTGCGGGATCTTCGCTGCCTTTGAAAACATATCGCCACTGCAAGCTCTGCTTTTGGTAACCGGGACATGTGTGTCCTCGCTTAGTGCATTCCTGACAACTTGGCTTTGCTTCATCACATCTGCGCTGAATAAGTATTAGCTATGTGGACTTTAAGAAGGGCCTTCGTAAATGAAGGAGAAACTGTGCATCTTTCACCTCGACTTACTCGCCGCTGCTTGCACCTCTGGCAGCCCCCTCTTGATTTTGGCCGGCACCGGTTGGGATTCTGCCTTTTCTTCTGCAGAGAAGGTAAATTCTCTGTGCTTGCCATTCTAATTAAAATAAAGATATTGAAAATATTGGTTTTCTGGGGGAGACAAAAACATCACAGTCTGAGATGGCGGGGGGATCGGGCGAGAACCCGATCAAAGCATTCTGAGGCCGGTGCATGAACCGGGATCCGATCACCTGCCGATAAGCGACGTCTAGTCTCTGTTGAGATGTCCGATTGGGTTGAAGCGAAATTGCTGAGGTTGTCCAGGTGGTTGCTGCCCAGGTGGCTCCCGAGTTCTATCTCCCCGCACCTTCCCTTCGCGCTAATCCAAAAAAGGATCAACAATACGCTTTGAGGCGGGTTTGTTTTCCTAATGTGGTCTAGTCCCTTTTCTATATAGCATAAGTATGATCAGCACGGGTGTCAGGCATTTGCAGCAAGAAATTCTTATTTGGAAAACCTTGACCTTAGGCCATCAGCATGTTCATAGTTGGCCCTGTGAGATGTATGTCCCAGGTACCATAGCACTAACCTAGGCAGCAACATGATTTGAGTATACATATGGGGATGTGTATGTACGTAAGTTGGACTTAATATTGTAGGATTTCAAAAAACCGGGAAGATTCCGACACAATCCTTGGGAAGGAGCACTTCGCCATTCGTCATTTGTGGTAAAAAGTAATTTTCCAAGTCTCAGTCAATGACATTTGTTTCTGCATTGATTTCTCTCCGCATCTTATGACATCACATATGCGGAGAAGTTCAGGTTTTGTAAATTTGAACGGATATATCCAGCCGGTAAAGCTTGTTGATGTTACAATCAGTCTACCGGAAGTTGTCAACTGCCGAGCTGCGTCAATTGCTTACTATTATCTATACAGGTATCTAAACTAATCAATGTCACACTAATCTACACTAGTCTATAGCCATGTATTTCTTACAACGTGAATTCTAGGCGGACGGCTCGAGAGGAACCTCCGGACCGCCAGGACCCACATGGATGCCATATATGGTATAGTGTAGCCGCCGTGCATTAGCGTTAGCAATCTAACCCATTTCGTACTAGATTGGATAGGTAAACAACCAACCTTGGAAACTTTCAACCTTTGGAATGCGGGGATGATCATCTATGTTTCAGCTCAGGCACTGCCTGTCCAATCTCTCTGCTTGTCTTATCTTCACCTCAGATGTGGTTGCCTAGGTCAGTGAGATGTCCTATCAAACGTTATCTCGGCATAACTCCATTTCTCCACTTTGTCTCCACCTTTTTTGAGAACTTCCGGGTACTTTGGAGAGATATGGGATAACGGTTTGAGTGAATTTCGTCCTTACCCGTTACTATGTTCAAGGTTTGATGAGTAGCTGTGCACGGGACTCCCCTCACCAGAATAAGAGATAAACACCACGAATTCCTAATGTATATTGCATCCGAAAATTCTTCTGTAGGCGTGGTTATTCGACTATACCCAAGATTTGACTACCTGAAGTTCAGTCTTTTAACCCAGTTTCGATCGGAATCCTTCTATTCCAGAGATTTCTTCAATCTTTTGTTACTCGTATCGATTTTCTTAGACCTCTATCATGGCAGACGAAGTCACCGCCCACCAGCGTCGCTCTCCGAAGACCAAATCTTCCGAGCCCTATTCACCGGAGGGGTTTCCCAGCATTGAAGAAGGGAAACAGACTTCGGCAAATGGGGTACTGGAAGCCCTAGGCTATGAGCCCGAACTCGTTCGAAACCGCTCTACGCTTCAGGTGGCTTTTATGTCCTTCGTGCTCGCAGCAATTCCATACGGACTAGCTACAACTTTCACCTACCCTCTAGTTGGGGGAGGTCCCGTCAACATAATCTGGGGATGGCTTGCCGTCTCTTTGATTACTCTATGTGTGGCTGCCTCGCTTGGCGAAATAACCTCGATATATCCAACTGCCGGAGGGGTCTACTACCAGACCTTTATGCTATCCCCACCATCATATCGAAGAATCGCCTCGTGGATTTGCGGATGGTCATATGTTGTTGGAAATATTACCATTACACTTGCAGTTAATCTTGGGAGTACCCTTTTCCTCGTTTCGTGTATCAACGTTTTCGAATCTGCTCCAGGGGTGGGAATCTTCCAAGCGGAAACGTACCAAATTTTTCTTATATTTATCGCTGTCACATTTCTTGCTAACGCAATATCGGCCTTTGGGAACACATGGCTGCCTTATCTTGACGTGTGTATAACAACATTTATGACACCACACCATCACCCTGCTAATACAGAAGCTAGACATTCGCGATATTCTGGACACTTGCAGGGACGTTGGCTATTGTAATATGTGTTCTCGTAATTGCAAAAGAGGGTAGACATGACGCCGAATACGTTTTTACTAGCTTTGAGCCACAATCTGGTTGGCCAGCAGGCTGGTCTTTCTGTATCGGACTTTTGCAGGCAGCTTATTGCACTTCCTCCACTGGCATGGTGATTTGGTAGGTAACTTATTTTGTTTCCACACCAGAGGAACATCTCCTATCTCACTCTCCACTGTGAAGCCTCCATAACTGACGTGTCAAAGTATGTGTGAAGAAGTCCAGCAACCATCCACACAAGTCCCAAAAGCAATAGTTGGAACTGTCATTCTAAACACCGTGGCCGGATTTCTCTTCCTTATTCCATTGGTTTTTGTGCTCCCCGACACGAAAGTTTTAGCCGCTCTCGAATCTGGGCAACCAGTTCCGAGTATTATCAAGTCCGCCGTTGGAAATCCAGTTGGATCATTCCTGCTTCTCCTACCATTGATAGTTCTCTCTCAGTTCTGTGTTATAGGTTGTACCACGGCTGTCTCCCGAAGCATATGGGCATTTGCTCGCGATGGGGGTATACCAGGTTCCATATGGTGGAAGCAGGTAAACAAAAACGGAGTACCTTTTAACGCAATGATGCTTGGCATGGCGGTCCAAATATTGCTAGGATTTATTTACTTCGGGTCAACTACTGCATTCAATGCTTTCACGGGCGTCGGTGTTATTACCTTGACTGTCAGCTATGTCTGTCCAATCGCTGTGTCTCTTGCTGGAGGCCGACGACACATAAAGAATGGCCAATTTGACCTTGGCACACTCGGGCTAGTTTGCAATATTGTGGCACTGGGTAAGCCTGAACCATCTACCACGATCTAACATCGCTAATTGCATATTCCTTTTTAGCATGGAGTATTCTTGTCATTCCATTATTTTGCATGCCCTCTTCAATCCCTGTCGCTGCAGATACGGTCAACTACGCACCGGTGGTGTTTGTTGCATTTATCCTAGTCGCCTCTGGGTGGTACTGGGTTTGGGGGTACGAGAAGTATGTTGGGCCGCCAACAATGGAGGATGAAGTTCGCTCATCAGACTGGTAAAGTGAGTAATTTGGGGCGAAAGCTCCAATGTAAATAAATCTCAACTGGAATTGAATCTACTTCGTTGCACATTTGAGGCTGTGGGGGCACGGTCCCTCTGCGCAACTCTCATTTCCCCCACTCCAGTGAGATTTGCTCTCCTATGTGATTTCTCTTAGACAACCTCTAAATCTCCTAGCTTCAATTATATCTAGTGGAACTAAAATGCAGGAGCAGAAGTCCCGACCCTGTGCTGACCTGCTAATATTGCAGCGGAACAAAGTGGACGAAGGCGATTGGCGACAAACGCGGCGGGCGAACTTCCACCTTGAAGATCCAAACGACCTTTCTGATACCATCCCTGCTTGGTCTAAGATTTGTATTATGTATGTGAAGTTGCCCAAGTTTAGAGAAAAATCCTAATGTTACTAGTGTCGCCGATTCTACTGAGATTGAGAGATGCTCGCAATGTCGACAAGCCTTTGTCGATGCTTTTTGTATGCCTCATTTTTGGTGGTCATATTATTTCTTCAAGGGAAATGGTGGCTTTGGATGTGAAAAAACGCGACATTCTGGAGTCACCACTGGTTTTAGTAAGTACGCTAAAGATAAATAGTTACACCTCACTGATTCCTATAGATACCTGGTCCAAATTCGCCGTGAAAAAGGTAGACCATGATACCAGATTCAAGTGGTATCATACAAATATCTTCACACGATGGTTGCCATCAACTAATCAAACTGTGGTCCTCGCCTTCGATCTCGACCCGCCCATCAAAGAACGTTTCCTGAGAGCAGTGATGAAACCTGATGAAAGCTGGCTCAACGATCCATTCTGGGTCTACCCACATTTAGTCGAGCAGATTGCGCTTATTCAGGAGCCCTCTGTATGGGGTATCCGAGATCATGTCCGGTTGACAGAGACAGAAGGGAAACCAGAAGGGAGACCACAACCTGACTACAGACGACTCCACGATATCGCCCGACATGCAATTCATGTGAACGAAACACTCGACGTTGCTTTGCAAAACCTAGAGCACATCTTGACGCAACATGAGAGCTATACAAATTCGAACCCAGATAATGCCACTCCTGCTTCCGAAGACATCCATCTTCGTCTGCGATCCTGGCAGTCTTTCATTGCCAACTTACGATCTCGGTCCATTTCAAATGAAAAGAGACTGCAGAATGAAATCCAGCTGGCCTTTAATACAGTGGCTCAGCATGATGCGAGTGTTACTCTTGAAATTGGTCGAGCAACCCAATTGGACAGTGCCACCATGAAAACGATCGCCTTTGTTACACTTACGTTCCTTCCTCCTACCTTCATCTGCGCTATCTTCAGCATGTCATTTTTTGATTTCGGCGGGGATTCCGGCTGGACTATGTCGAACAAGTTCTGGATTTACTGGGTCTTCGCTATACCAACCACTGTCTTTACAACTCTAGTATGGACTTATTGGCCGAATATCCGTCGCATGTTGTTTTCCAAAATTGAATGAATTTGGGGATCCTCCGCAAATTGTAGGGATTTAAATACTCTACTTATCCTCTCTTAATTTATTATAAAAATTGAGAACTCCTAGTAATCCAGCAAAGAGGGAACTGAGTATTGATTGGTAGCTTTGTCAAGCCCCATGCGTTCAAGAGCCTTAATCCTTGCTACACGGAAGAAACGCTGTGTAAACAATTCCATAACACCAGCTCGCGAACGAGCTGTCTGATCTGGGCCGCATGCAGAAATAAGTTGGCATACCCTATCGGTCTTCTCGCGAGTTGCTCCTGCATAGCAGCAATCTAGGATGCCGAGGGTATCGACATTGGTCGTGCAGTAGTTGGGGGTGAAGAAAGAATTATGGAGATAAGATCATTGGATGTTTTGCCGGCCGGGGCCAGCAACAAGTTTCAAGAGGCCGGTTCCGGTATCAAGCATTCCGTGCCCCATGTACGCAAGAATGAGCAGCGACGGTAGTGGGTTACTAGATGCTTTCATTTTCTCGATAATGGTGTCGACAGTCATCGTTAGAGTGAATCCAGGTTGTTTACCAGTTGCTTCCAGCTTGACCACGGTTGGCTGAATGTCGAAGACATCTTTGAGGCACCAGGTAAGCGAGTTCACATCTTCCACTGCGTCGGTGTCGTCACTTTCAAAATGAAAATATGACCGCCTTGATGGAGTGGTATGCAGTTCCGCGGGCATTGGCAGCTGCTTGAAATGCAGCTTTCACCTCGGGCAGGCGAGGACGGTCACTTGTGGAAGCCATTATGAGGGAAGTTGATCTAGACTCGATAACCAGTGTCATCATTCATGGACGGATCGGATCGTTGAGACACAGGTCAGGAGTTCAGGAATTAACAACTGCCTTTCAACAGCTCAATTGAACTCGTAACAGAGAGATCCTACGGAGTTGTGATTCAGAGATGAAGAAACAACACGGTAGGATTCGTCTCAGAGCAGAAGGACGGAGAGGAGAGAGAGAGAGAAGCTAAAAGATAATGAATCAAATGTTATTAAAGAGCATGAAAATTTGATATATACATCATTCAGACTGCGCGTTTCGTTCTTCCAACATCGAACTTAGGTACAAAAAAAGAGATTGTAAATCGACAATTAAAAGGAGCGTATGGGATAAAAAAAAAAAAAAAAAAGGGTTGTCGGCTTAAGCCAGTCATATCAGTCATCCTTCAACATGTTTCTTGGATTGTTCGCTCAATCAGAGAGCGGCGGGAGTGTAGCCCTGGTCAGGCTTGACGACTTTTCCGTCCGCAAGCTGCTCGTCGTTGTAAGCAGGCCAGATGATCTGACCGGCCTCATTGTTGGCAACGGACAAGGTAGTGAAACCGTTGGTAGGATCAAACTGGCCGCTCCAGCCGGAGCTGACGGTGTATGCGCCACATGCACTAGGGCCTCCGTTAGCGCGAGAGGCATCGGTGGCCTCCACGATGTAGGTACAACCGGTAGTGTCTGAACCAGAGTCAATGCCGAAGGACCAGGTGCATGAGGTGTTTTCGTCGTTGCAGACACGCTGCATGTCTCGAATGGTCCAATCAGAACTGGTAATTGGGGCAGCAACGATGGAGGAGGCGAAGAGGCCAGTTGCGAGAAGAAACTGAGAGATCTGCATGTTTGCAATTTGGTGGTTTTTCAGGTTGTTGGAGAAGAGGAGGTGTTTGGATTAAAAGTGTTGGATCTTTGAATCTTGAAAGGCGGGTTGGGTTGGAGGAGAGTTGCGTGGATGAGAATAGAAAGGAAAGCATCAACGGAAGGAATGAAGGTATTTAAGTCTTTTCTCAACATTCAACCGTTGACCGTCCATTCACTAAAGCATATGGTATGCGGTAAGGCATCCTACACTTCGAGGTTTCTCCGGTCACTCTGCGATAATCTCTCGAAATAGAATTCATAGATGCCAATACTATGTCGGTCGATGTAACAGTACAAATCTAGAATACACCCCCACTATTTGCTGGCAAGGCTGAGCCTCATGTCTTACTCTTGGCAAAGTAAGAAAGACATGGCATCTATCCATGGTGCATAGCTTCAATGGTAAGCATTTAGCGTATTGCAAGCCAACTTAGCCAATCTTGTATTGGGAGCCTCAGGTTAGGCCACCTATGTACCCACCAAGATGGTTATTTCTAGATACATCCCTCTTGTCCAAGAGAGAAGCTGAGATTAAGTTCTGACGATCCCAAGGCCACCTCTCCCGGTGGTTTTGGTTACGAAGCCATATCAAGGCCCCCCAACTGCCAGGCTGCCCAACCCTACGCGGATATAATTTCATGTTTATTCACATGCACAGCCTAGTACTGAGGAATTTCTAAAAATCAGAGACAGAAACATGTTTGCATTCCAACGCATTCCGCTGATGAAATAAACCAGATTTTCCAAAGGTTGTCCAGGTCCCTACCTACATACTTGATTTCCTCTGCCACTTCTTGGCTATCCCTTTCCGTTTTAGTGCTCAGGCTTTGCCGCTTTTTGCTCACTGAGTAGAACTGAGCATCACCTGATCATTATATGAGCTATATGACTCGCTCACTGAGCTTGACCTGAGCGCTCTGACTAGCTCACTGAGCACCACGGGAATTGATACATGCACACCAGCTTACATAATCTTGCACACTTATTTAGTTAGTTAGTGGTACAGATTGATGGGATGAGTAGAGATGATCAATTAACTATGTGGTCAAGCTAGCTAATGAGGGGGCTCTACCACGTGACAAGTCACGTGATGGTAACAGTTAGTTATCAATTCCCGTGTTTTTTTATCTACTAAGCCTAATTAGGAATTTTCTGCAACTTTATTTCTATATTTAAAGGATAACATTGAACCTTGCATCCTATTCTTCTTCTTCATTCATTCCAAGTTTCAGTCTCACTACTTTGTTCTTCTTCATTCATTCCAAGTTTCAGTCTCACTACTTTGTTCTTCTTAATTCATTCCAAGTTTCAGTCTCACTTCTTTGAATCTCATTATATTCGATTTATCTTCTTCAAACTTACCCACCATGTCCCTCCAAGCCATTCCCCAACATCATCCAGATCTCCCATCCGGTCCTGGTGTTTTCACACTAGAACAGATACGATGCCTTGAAGAGGCTGCAATCCTCCTTCCCGAGCCTCAGCCGAATGCATCCACAAACGCCAGTGGTAAAAGAAAAGTTTCCGCTGCATTCAGTGCACCAAGATCTGTGTCAAGCTCATCCACCTCGTCGTCGTCTTCTGCGTCTGTTGCCACCCATGGTTTCCAGCCCAATGTCATCCGAACCTTCGACATCCCGATGGCAGAAGAAAGTGTCGAGGTGCTTGAGTATATTGGGTTCGTACCGGATGTTGCCAGACTGATCTATGACCGATATTGCGGCCGCCCAAGTCCAAGCCAAAATCCTGATGACCTAATGGCATATGTCACTACACATCTCGCCTCTCTTAGCCGACGACAATACGATAACATGAGCCATCAGGAGGCGCTCGCTGATGTTGGTCTTACTCGCCAAATTCAAGAAGCAATCACGGACCCGAGATTCTCACACATCTTCGGTACCCAGACCCTCACTTACTGGGCACAAGATACCGTTGAAACCAACTATGCCGCTCTTCTTCGTCAACAGCAACTGCTACAAAGTCATGCAAACAAGCGCATAGCTCATAAAAAAAAACATAAGCGGCCCAGGCATGAGCCGAGCCGAGAAGATCAAGACCCATCTGAGCAGCAACCCGTGACTGCAACGATCAACATGACACCCCAAGATTTCCAGTTCCCAGACACATATGTGATGGTTCAGCCTGATGCCAATATCCTCGCCGATCACATTTCTTTATACAAGGGCAAGGCATATGATGAATTACGGCCAGCGGGTGATATCGTTGAGAGTGATGGAATAGTCAACCTAAGACCACTCAGCACATACCCCGGCGGAGACTTCAATTTCGATTTTAATGCGCAATACTGGACCCCCGAAATTGAAACGGCTGAAGAGTACCGCAAATTTGCAGAAAGGAGAAGCCCTGCAGCCGATACCTGCATTATTCACATTCAGGTTCCGCGACCATTCATCAACAGCCTCCGAATGGAGAATCTATGGTATTCTCCCAACTGGAAAGAGTACATCTGGACCTGCAGGAGACAGGCTACCCCTCACCCGAAATTCGACCACCTCTGGCGACCTGGGCAAGCTGATATTGTTAGGGGCCCCATCTGTTCTACCCTCAGCACACAGCTAGTCCGCATCCGCAGAGAAAACATCCAAAGTCATATCACTGAGGACAACGTGATGCGATTGCTGTCTGGGAGAAAGGCCACTCAGTGGGTATTCGTTCAACGCGATGTGATTGATCGGTTAGCAGAACACATTCGAGGGAAGATGCATTTCATCATTTTCGAAGCCGCAGTTCGTTTCTCATGACAACGGTCTAGGGCCCACTTTCCGCTTTGATTGCAGCCGTTTTTCGGGTCGTTCTTTATTTATCTGTTGACATGTTTCTATCTCGCAAAATATCACCCTCTATGGTGAAAATTTGCAACTTTTGCATGGCTACCCCCTAAATTTCCGTTGTTTGCGATGTCTGTCTGCCCATCTCACTAGTCAAGCCACCTTGCTCCTTACTAGCTGCTCTACAGACGGATATTCCCCCTATCATTCCATCAGCTGTGTTCTAGTTTATTTTTTATTTGCAACTTTGCTTGGGAAAATCTAAACCCATCATTATTCAAGATATATAAGTTAATATAGGTTATAGACAATAGGAAGTGCCGAAGGTGTCAAACTATATTGGGGCCACCTCAGGCTGTAGAGTACATTATATAAGAATGCTCAGTAACTAACCCGGTAAACCTTTAATTGACTAGTTAGATGTTTAAGACAAGTGCTAGTTTGACATATGACTTTCCACGTTTAAACTATTCCCATTCCGCTTTGCAGGTATGCTCTTTTATCGCTTATCCTAAGCTGGCAGATTTTGTCTCGTACTTTGGATAGTGTCTCGCTGGGATAAGAAGGCTAGAAAATCCCCAGCGATAATAGTGAAAGTCTTATTAACCCTTAAGGGCCAGTTCTCATTAAAGCACTAACCTAAATTAGGCTTATTATGCTTCCTTAAAGTATCTTTATATAGCTAAATTACATTCTAGAACTCTAGCTCTGAGCGCCCTCGTAAAAGCGGCGGCAGCTAAGATAGGAAAGCCCCACCCGGCAGAGGAAAAATGGTACGTATAGCTACCTAGGTACCATGTAGGTAGACACCCGGGCCTGGGTCACGGGACGGCCCCTGCGCCGAGGGACCAGATGGCCCCCGGACCCGTGGACCTCAGCTAGGCTGAGTAATTTCGGCCTAACATTTTAGGCATCAACTTTAATGTGAACCGTGGTTTCCGCCAAAGCTCCTCTCTCCAACTTTTAGCCAAGCTACACTGCCACCCCTACTCTTCTGCATCTCTACAATACATCTGACTATGGACTCTCCAAAGAAACTCAAAATCGCAAGTCTAGGTAGCTCCTTTGCTGCTGGTCCTGACATTCCCCCGCAAATCGAACCACGTGCCGCATTGCGATCAGGGCAGAATTACCCCCATCTTTTGGCGCAGCACTTGAACGCCGATCTCACTGATCTGACCGTTTCTGGCGCAACGTTGCTCAACATAACAGTCGAACCACAGTCTACCCCATTCAATACGACCTTCCCACCGCAAATCTCCAACCTCCCCGAAGATGCCAACATCATCACCTTGACCGCTGGAGGAAATGACATAAACTATATCGGCGGCATGATCGCCGATGCTTGCGACGCCGAGCTCCAATCGTCCGTGTCCCTATCACCAGCAGAATTGGCAGAACGGCTAGGAGGAGTGGTCGATCAGATACACAAACGGGCCCCTGGAGCTCGAATCTTCCTTGTTGAATATCTTGCTGTTCTGGGACCTGCAACTCAACCGAGTCGGAATATCCCGCTGACACAGGAGAGAATTCAACATTACCGCGGTGTTGCATCTGTTCTACAACATGCATATTCTGTCGCTGTGGAAGGTCGAGCCGATTGGTGTGAGACAGTCCCAATTCACCAACTCAGCCAGGGACATGCACTTGGCAGCGAGGAACCTTGGGTTGGAGGATTTGAATTGGGGCCGCTTCTCCATCCGAATCTTGATGGGATGAAGGCCGTAGCGAGTATTCTAGCTGAGACGATCGGCAAGAGCACATTACCTAAAGCATTGTTGTGAATATATTCATCATTTTACACTCTGCATGGTATTACTTGGTGATTACGATTGTCAAGCAGGCTAGAGCAGATGTGAGATATCATCAGAGTGACTAGTATTTATTGACTAGGGTTGTCTGGGCAGAGGTGGGTCGGTTTCTCTTAACTATCAAAACGAGCGAGTTATTATTCGCTATACCCTGCCATGTCCGCAGATAGAATGTCGGGCTATGATCTTGACTGAGCTGAGGTATCTAGCTTTTACCTCCACAATCATGACTCACTGGATGTATTGGGGCTGCTGCGCATTGTGGGATAATTGCAGGTGGACCAATCAGAAGCCTACAGTCTGTACAAATGGTCGCGTGTGTGATCTGGGGTAAAACCCCGCATACAATATATTATAGGGTGAGACGGGAATACCGGTGGCTTCTTTCTCAGCCCTCTGCTAATGCAAGCCTTCCTACATATTGGCCTTTGGTTCTCATCTTACACCTCATAAAGATGTTTAGAAAAGAGTATGAAAGCTTGCACCCCAGATTCACTTGTAGCTTTGAATTTTTACTAGCAATCAGAGTACAAACGCACATACAACATTAGGTACATATTTTTCGCCAGCGAGGGCTATGCACACTTGGCATTTGTATCACAAACAAAAATATATATGTAACCAATAGAACGAGGTTTGCCTTGGACGCCGGGTGATGCAGGCAAGCAACTAGTATTGCCCGTACTTTGCCCGCACTATTTTGGGTTGTGTCAAATGCAAACTGGATAGTTTTTAATATCATTTTATTATTATTATTAAAAGTATACGCCCTATGATACGGGTTATGTGGGTTGATCTTTTGGGCTAGAAGAAAGACAGACACCATACATAGTAGTATTAAAAAAGCCGCATGAGCCAGAGTAGTCTTGTAAATTAGCAATGGGTCTCATTCTACTCATCCGGAAGCTCTCGTTCCATCTTTGTCGGGCCGAACACTTCGGGATGTTATCTTCCGGCTCCACGCTTCGCGTACAACAAGAGCGAAGACTTGGCCCTTTGAAATACATTCGAGTTGTTTTCTTCTTTTTTTTCCCCCAAATTATAGTATCTTGACTAGCCACTCACCAACTCACCATCTACGGTGTTTACACCAATCTATGGTGTAGAGCTATCTTTTTCATCTATACCCCCACATTATCTATACCCCGCATTATCCAACTTCCCTCCCTACAGACAAGACCACAACATGGGAAAACGCATTGTGGTCACTGGAGGCTCCGGCAAAGCCGGACAGCACATTATCCGATATCTCCTCCAACAAGGCCATGATATCCTGAACCTCGACCTCGTTCCTCTTCCCGCCGAGCTGGAGGAGCGTGTCCACACCTTGCGTGTCGACCTGACAAACACGGGACAGGTATACAGCGCACTGGGCTCTCATTTCCACTTGTCGGAGCCATTCCAGGAGCCACTGGGGCTAGTCCCCGATGCAGTGATTCACATGGCCGGGTATTCTCGCAACATGATCGTGCCAGACGACGAAACCTTCCGCGGTAACACCTCAGCGATGTATAACATAATCGAAGGCGCCTCGCGCCTCGGCATAAAAAAGATCATCATCGCCAGTTCTGTCACCGTCTACGGCGTGAGTTATGCAGAGGGAAATGTAGATTATCCCTCCTTCCCAGTCGAAGAAACCGTCGACGCAAACCCGATGGACACATACGCGATCTCGAAGGTGTGCGGTGAGAGCATTGCTCGTGGCTTCGCGCGTCGGTACGGAAGCGATATCTATATCCTGCGCATTGGACGCGTTGTCGCCCCGGAGGAATACAAACAGTCCATGTTCCGATCATATGTTGAGAATCCCGAGAAATGGGCGCCGCATGGCTGGGCGTACATTGATGTTCGTGATCTCGGACAGATGTGTGATCTCGCGGTCCAGAAGGATGGTCTTGGGTTTCAGATCTTTAATGCGGTCAATGATGAAATTACGAATTACGAAAACACTGCTGAGTTTCTGGGGCGGGTTTGTCCCCATGTCCCGGTTACACGCGAGTTGGGGGCCAGAGAAGCTCCCATCAGTAATCGGAAAATTAAGGAGCTGCTTGGGTTTCGGGAGGAGCATCATTGGATGAAGTATTATGAATGAGTCTAGGGAGTAGGGAACCTCCAAATCTGATTCGTGCACCCTTCCGGTTTCCCCTTTCATCGGTGTTAGTAAGCAGGTCACGCGCCATGTTCCCATGTTCCCGACCTCGGCCGGGGTCCGGATGACATCAGCAGATCTTTGTGGACATCAGGAGGTCTTCCACTACTCCGTACCCAAATCAGGGAGGTGATCTTCTCTCCACGTTGCAGTAGGATTTTCTGAGCTCTTTGTCTTCAAATACCAAGTCCAGACTTGTCATTGGAACAAAGCCAAGGACGCAAGGATGCAGGGACGCAAGGACATCTAATTCACCGAATTCTCGATGGACAAAAGCACCTATATGCTAATAAACGAGAGTTTCGAGGGGTTTTTTTCTTCGAGGTTTGCGAGATTTTCTCCGTGGCGCAATGAATGCGGGCTATAATCCTGGTCGTGAGGCTGGAAATTCCCGGTACGGAAAAGCCCTAGCAAACGGGATGCAATTTTAATTATCCCCCCCCAATTTAAGCGTGGCTTTTTACCGAGATATTATCAGTGTCTTTTTGCCCCTGAACTTGTCCTTTTGAGGGTGAGATTTTCGGGTGAGACGTTGAGCTAAGTTCACAATCACATTGTAGAACATGGAGATCCTCGAAGTGATAGGTAACACCAGAGGGAGAAGTTAAGATGCAGAGAAAAAGAGAGGTCCAATCATAAAGTTGGGGGATGTTGACTGCATTTTATGTTTTTGTGTATTCATTTTTTATTATTATTATATGTTCTTACTATTACTATTACTATTATTACTATTATATTAACTACCTAGGTATTAACTATTAGTTATATAATATTATATACGGGGTGGTTATCCAAGGTTCAAGTCTGGGGTACCCGATCGGCCCCCGCATGCAATATACGAGATGCGCCCCAGCTTTTGCCTCTTTGTCCTTTTTTTTTCCTTTTTGGCCCTTTTCTTTTTTCTTTTTTCTCTTTTCTTTTGTCTCGTTTGTCTCTTTTCCATTACTGGATCTCTCTTGGGTTCCAGTTTGTCCTATATTCCCCACCTTACCTGAATCCCACACTTATCTACGCAATGCTACGATTCCCCTGATACTGACTCAACGCCATGGGCGATTCCACTGCCGCCGGGGATGGCATCAGCGGTCACTACGAGGGAACTTCTCTGGGCATGCAGATCACCATCGCCACTCTTGCTGGTGTTACCTGGTATAATGCGTTCGAGTTAATGATCCTACTCTTCGTCACTTTCGCTGAATACCGAGGACTCTACTTCTGGAGTTTATTTATTTCTTCCTCCGCCGGTCTACTTCCCTACTCGCTGGGCTTCTTACTCAAATTTTTCAAAATTACCGACGACCTTCCATGGCTCCCTGTTACCTTGCTCACAATTGGATGGTGGTCCATGGTCACCGGCCAGTCTATTGTCCTATACTCGCGCCTACACTTAGTCCTATCAAACCAACGAGTCCTGCGTCGCGTGTTGGCGATGATCGTGATTAATGCAATAATCCTCCATTTGCCCACTACTGTTCTCACGTACGGTGCCAACATGGCCCCCGACACCTCCCTGGGCTTATGGACGAAAGGCTACAACATCATGGAAAAGATCCAAATGACAGGTTTTTGTCTGCAAGAATTCATCATCTCAGGGCTATACATCTGGGAAACAGTCCGCATGCTACGCTTAGACCCAGACCGTATCAAGCGCAAGATTCAGTACCAACTACTGACCATCAACTTCATCATCATCATTCTGGACGTCGGCCTGCTCGTCGCCGAGTACCTGGACTTCTATATCATGGAAACCATGCTCAAAGGCGTCGTATACAGCATCAAACTGAAACTTGAATTCGCCGTCCTCGGTAAACTCATCCACTTGGTCCACAATCACGTCTGGAAACCCGAGTCCTTTTCCGCCCCACGCGATCTCCCCGATTTCGTCGATGCAACCCGCGTCACCTCCGACGTGACCCATGCCTCCCCTAGTGTCATCCATCGCAGACCTTCCCGCATGGATGTCGATGACATTTCCATCGCCATGTTCGAGCATCTACCCTCCGACCGCATACGAACCAATTCCGATCTCTCCCACTCATGGAGCAATGAAGCCCGCGCCTATCATGTGGATCACCTCCCAGTCGACTTCACAAATCCTTTCCGCCATTATCCACATCACCAAAGTCGGGAAATCCCCGAGAAACCGGGATGAGAATTGATCCCGTCATGGCAATACCCTCTCCATCCTTCTTTCTTCTTTATGAATCACGGCTTATGAGATATGATGATCGTTGAGACTCCCGATATCCCACTTTATGATCTGTGAACATCACACATCACCCAGTCTCTGAACTGGTGTCTCCCCCGGCAACCCTGAGGAAACTCATCTTCCCATGGGCAATACCCAGGCCTCGCGCTCGGCTTCTGGATTCACACGGAGTTATTGAGCCGCTGAGCCAGGACCTTTCCTAATGGGGAATCCACAAATGTGCAACCCGCCAGGGTTCATTTACGATAATTCAATGTAGATGCACGTTCATCCTTATCTGTATATAGAACGATTCCTAGTAGTTATCTCTATTGGGACGTGGTTGCTATTGAATATATCCAATTATCTTGATGATACACTCCTGTCTCCGTCGTATTGTTCACTCTCCCACCCCCTAAAGTTCTGGAATTAAGGGCCTTATTCATAAATTATGAAGTCCGAGGCCGCATAAGCAGCCCACTATGTTTGTAACTACATACCAGGGAGGCAACAACTAATTCTACTCCAGGGCTCCAGTAAAGGATTATAGCACACAGCCAAACACATACACTTAGAAGATGTATCAGGGGTATGTTATGTGTCGACTAAAACATAAATCAACAAATGCCCATCGAT